AAATGTTGTGTGGGGAGTTAAAACCTTCAAGGGCTCCCCACTGCCTCTGAGTGAGATGCCACCAGCAATTTATGAGAATTGGGGAAATAGCATTACCTTCCAGCCAGTCAGAACGTGTTTTGCTGGTCGAGTGTGATAGGCCCCTCCCCTTGAAGCATCTGCCTTTGGCAGTTGAACCCTGTGTTTAGTAAAAGAACAGATTCCCCCAACACTTTTTATTCTTCTTTAAGGGAAAAAGATGTCTGTCAAAACTCGGTCTCTCAAGCAGACAGTCAAGAAACCAGCTGGCCCAAAAGCAAAGCGAGAAGCAAAAGCTGCAAGCAAGGCCTTACCGGAGCCAGCACCTGAGGAGAGTAAGGAGAGGGAGTTGCTCCAGCCTGCAGCCCTTCCCTGCATTCTGGTTGCCATTAGCAATCCTGTGGCTTGCTCCCCTTCCTAGCAGACGTGCCAGAGGTTACTGGGGCCTGGTCTGGGGAGTCAGACAGTTCAGACTTTGCTGTACTCTTCCCCAGAAAAGATTTGTGGGTTTCATAACTCCATGGCAAGGAGAGTAGAGGATCAGCACAGCTCCAGCATACACAGAGCTGCCTCTAAACAAAGGAACTGGCTGCTGCCAAGTGCCATGAGCAGCTGTATGTGACCCAGGACTCGCTGCTGGGTCTCTCCTCAGCAAATCCCAGCAGGGGATGCATTGTGTGTGTGTGAGAGAGTCCCAAAGAAAGGTCCCAGAATGACACAGCTACCCCTGGAAGCTGATTTTTGCCTTGCTTAGTCCCAGACAGATAAAGCACCTGCAGCACCGGCTTCCCCTGACCTGGAGGGATGAGATGGTAGGTCACTATATGGTCTGCTCCCTCATTGATCTCTGCTGAGGCTGCCAATAAGAGGGACCAGCTGGGCTAGAGTTTGTATGAGATGTGAACACCTGCTCACTGGGAAATGGGACTGATGGGAACCCAAAGCATTTGTGACTGGGTGTCCGTGTGAATGGCGTGAATCCCATGATGCTGTTGACACTCTCTGTTAATGAAGCTTTTGGGGTGGACTGATTTATCTTCTTTCTGTGTTTCAATAGTTATCACTGTGCAAGTGAAAGAGGAAACAATTGACCCGTCAGCAGGAGAATTCGGAGACCCAGAGCTTCCCATCCTGATAAGCAGCATAAAGCAGGAGATAGAAGACTAATCTCTGATCCTTCGGGATGTGCCCTGCATTCTGAAACTCTCTGGGCAAGCCCCGAGCAGAGGTGAGCAGGAGACAAGCAGGGGCGTCGTTCCTTCGGATGTTCCTAAAATGTCACAAAACTCCATTTTATCTTTGCAAAAGAGCAATCCCCAGGGCCTGCAAGCACCATTTGGGGATTTTTTTTAAAACCCCACGTCACAGCTTCCAGAAAAGGCATCAGACTTTGAAAGAAATACAGCTCATACTTAGCTGAGGATGGATTATTGAGTCTGGGGAATCCTGTTAGCTCACAGATGTGACTTTGTGAGCTCTGTAGGAAGTTGCTGCTGTACTGTAGAGAATGCTAGCACTTCAAACTTACGTGACCTGAGAAGCCCTGAAGCTGCAGAACCACAATTGCCCTGAGCAGTCTCAGGGGGAACGAGTCAGTCAGGAACATGGCTGAACGTCCACTAGGTCAACATCCATGATGTGCTCAATCCTTTCTCTCATCCTGTCTGGGACATGGATCCAAAGGAGGACGGTAGAGAGCCACTGGGAAATGGAGGAGATAGAAAACAAGTTGCAGGAGCGACTATCTCTTTTGGTTTTATTCATAAATTATTCTTTTTACCTGATGTGAGAGGGGCTAAATCTTATCCATCTTGGAAGAAGGCAGCAGGGTATTTGTTAGCTCTTATTCCCCTTCTAAGACCCACAGTGCTGCTGGATTATTATGATTTTTTTTATAATCCCAGAGGAACTTCCACCAATGAAATATACCATAATGAAATGTCAATAAAATGTAATAGAAAGTCAAAGACTTGCCTGTTGGTTGCAAGGAAGAAGCCAAGTGCTGCTTGGTCCTAGAGGTGAAAGACATCTGAACATCAAAGCAATAAGGAGAGCGTGGGTGTGATGGTTGTAATGTAGCCCTCATGTACTTACCTCTGCTTGTTTGTAAGATCTGCAAAGAGCAAGTGCCAGCTGCTAGCAACATGGAGGCTTCCTGTCAGCTGCTCTGGTAGGACCCTTGCAAAGTACCTAGGCAGCAGTTCTAAGTCAACTCGCCAGTCTTGGCGACATGAAGGATGTGCATATACACACAGCAATGGAGCCCCCAGCTAGGCATGTAAAAGAATAGTTGATTAGTTGACTACCCAATAAGCCTAGGCTGGGCAGGACAACCAGGAGCTGGTCCTGGGGGGAGCCAGCTTAAAAGTTGGTTTCCCCCAGCACCATCTTGGCAAAGGCACTTGCTCCCTTTCCCTCCCCTCTCCCATGGAGGGTCTCAGTGGAGAGCTGGGACCCCCTGCAGGCAGAGGCTGCTGCTGCAAAGCAGCCTCTGTCTACTGTCAGCCAGCACAGATAGGGGCTGTTTCACTGCTGCAGCTCCTGTTTGCGGGGAAGTCCCAGCTTCTGGAGCAAGCCTGGCTCAATCCCTGCTCATGCTGGGTGCAGGAGCTACCTCCGCTGCAGTTCTGCAGTTTAAATGTAGTAGGAACTGGGCTGCCTGCATGCTTGGCTTTTACTACATTTAAACTGAAGAGCCAAACAGTCGATACAAATTGCATTGACGACACAATTACCCAATTATCTGCCTCTTAAGATCCTTAAAGCTAGGGTGAAGCATGTGTAGGGGGAGGTGAACTTTGCCTGGCACAAGTTGGCCCAGAGCGGTTTATTTTTGCATCCCCTCCCATTCTGAGCTCTGACTTTCATACAAGCTGATGGTCATGTGTGCAGTAGAACATGTTCTAGTGCTTTAGTAGAGTGATTTTTTTTCAGGGCACTCTGACTTTTTCCTTCTGTTGCAGCTTTCCTTAGTCTGTCAGCTAACTTTAAATACTCCTATACTTAATATTTATGTAATTGTTTTCCTGGAAATCATTCATAATTTGATTAAAATACTTAATTTTTCCTAGTAAAAAATTCTACATTTCCCCTGTTTGGGAAAACCCAAACACAGCAGCAGTGAAGTGCATAAGAATGGGCCTGTGAAGCTGATTAGTCAATTTCAGCTTTGTTTTAACAGCCTAGTTTGAGTGAAACTCAAAAGGCAAAAGTTCTGTCAGTGGTGATAAGCGTGCTCCATTTTCAAACATTCTTTTATTTTTAATCCTCTGAAGGTGTATGTGATGCAGGTGTCACAGATCGCAGGTCGTGCCCACACTTGGTTCCTGGGCGGAATCCCCCCTCCAGTGAGGCAGCTCCTTCTCGGGGAGCCCACTCTACTCCAGCGGCAGTGAGCCAGCCCTTTCTCAGGGAGTCCACTCCTTGGGTGCCCACTCTCACCTGGGGGGTCCGGGACGGTGCCTCTCAGGGTCTTCAGGACGCCTGCCTCCACTGTGAGCCCCTTTGGGAGTCCACTCTCTCTCTGGATGCCCAGGGCCTCCACTCCCAGAAGGAACGGTGCCATCCTGTTCTCTAGACCAGAGCAACTATCAGCCAGCACAAAACAGAAGGGCTTATTGAGCTTTGAACATAGCAGTGGGTCTCAGGCCAGTAGGCCTGGGCGCTCAGACCACACATCAGCCTCCCCCTGCAGCCAGCTGAGGTCTGCCTGCTCTGCTCTCAGTTCCCAAAAACAACCCCCAGTCTCCGAGCAGAGCCTCCAATATCCCCAGCAACAGCCCCTCCCCAGTCCATTGTCTTCTCCCTGGGCCCCTCTCTTCTCCGCCTGTTCTCCTCAGTCCAATGTTCCCCCCTCGCTGGGGTCCCTCTCTGCAGCCTATTGTCTGTCATCTGGCCAGAACTGGCTGTGTCCTCCAAGCAGGGTCGGGTCACCAGGATACCAGGCACCATGGCTCCAACTCTAGGCTGTTCTCTGTAACAACAAACTCCCCACCTTTGTCACATTAAACCAGTAACTGCTGGGCACTGTCCCCTCCCGTATGTAACACCCCCCTCCCTTTGAGCCCCCAAAACTCCCCACTTCCACACAATAGGTAAGAACTATGTTTGCTCTTGTTTCAGGGTACGTCTACACTAGCCCCTTAGATCGATCTAGGGAAGCTAATGAGGGCAACCAGAATTGCAAATCAAGCCTGGGATTTAAATATCCCGCGCTTGATTTGTATGTTCCCGGCCGGTCGCCATTTTAGAAAGTGACTAGCCCGAAGTAACTGCCCGCGTCTACACGCGGCAGTGAAACGAGATTCCGGAATAAAGCCCCTAAATCAAATAGGTGGTAAACCTCATTCCACAAGGAATACCACCTAATTCAATTTAGGGCTTTATTCCAGAATCCCGTTTCACTGCCGTGTGTAGACGCGGGCAGTTACTTCGGGCTAGTCAATTTCTAAAATGGCGACCGGCCGGGAGCATGCAAATCAAGCGCGGGATATTTAAATCCCAGGCTTGATTTGCAATTCCGGTCGCCCTCATTAGCCTCCCTAGATGGATCTAGGGGGCTAGTGTAGACGTATCCTCATTTATTATGCTTTAGGAGAATAAGATAGTGGTTAATATTGTTTTAGCATAATTTTCACTTTGTCTTTCAATGCCATTGAATCCTTTGTAAGGTTCCCTTTTCTGATCTGAGGGCAGCGCGTTTGGGATAACACACCTGTGTGTGTTTCTCCTCTCCACCCATTCACAGCAGTCCAGAGATCCTGTGCAGTATGTGATTCTGAAGGGACAGCATGGCTCTGGAGCGCTGGGGAATGATGAGGCCAGTCCTTTCCTTCCACACTCTTGCAGTGTAATACCTCTATATAGCGTAAGCTCTAAGAAATGTGCCGCTGTAAACAAACTAGAGAATGTGTGCGCGCACAGCCAAAAGTCACTTACATGAACAGGTGTGAAAGACTTTGCTGTCTTGAGCTCTCCCTCTTTCCTATTTGGGGGAATAGCCTGATGCATGGCAAAAAGGCAAACCAATAGCTAAGGATGTTTAGATCCCTGCAGAATTCCTTTTGATTGATCAACACCACCTCCAGTTCCCTAGAAAATCTCCATCTGCACGAACAAAGCCTGGAAGCAAAATTCTCAGCCAATGTAAATCAGCATAGCTCAAGGGTAGCTACACAAATATAAACCAACCAAAGGTCTGGCACTAGGTGTTTGAAACTGGATGAGTTTGTATTTGTAATGGACTGTGGTTAACTGGCAATCTCCCCCCCCCCCCCCGCATTCACTGCCTTTTTAAGTGTGCTTTGAAATGGGTGGGAGCAGAAGGGGAGGTGCTGAATATATCAAGCTGCTGCCACCACTGGAAAAGGTCGGTCATGCATATATTATGGTTAAATGTAGCTTTTTCCAACACCTACTCCTGGGGGAATCCTGTGCCACTGCACAGTGCAGGATTTTGCAGAAATTAACTTGCCTGCAGAATTTCTTTTCCCTCACAGAAATGGGCTGCAGTGCTGCTGGCTGCCACTAGGAGCTGCAGGACCTAAGAGAGCCCACATAGAAGACACTGCAGGGGGAAGGGGAGGGGAGCGGAGCTAGAGAGAGATCCTTGCAATTGCAGTTCCAAGCATCTCTGAAGGATGGTGATGGAGCACACAAGAAACTCCATGCAAGCCTGGGACTCAGTATAAGGCTGTTTTGCCATCTGGAGAGAGGGGTGGGTGTCAGGGTTCTGGGCAAGGGGGGTGCGCCTGGGTACAGGAGTGGCAAAGGGGAGGGTATCTTGGGGGTGGGGTTCTGCTGCTGGGGCCAGCGGTGGGGGGTACCAGGCCCGGGCTCTGGAGGAATGAAAGGGCCAAAGAAATAAACTGTGTTGTCAAAGGAATGTTTCTTTAACTCTAGGGGGAAATTTTGTGTGTCTGTGTTCTCCCCGACATACTTGCTGACAGGTATGTTGAAATAAATCACCAAAATTGAAACTGGTGTCCATGTGGAGTGTTATTTTGACAACATTTGCAGGCATTTAAAATGTGTGCAGAATTTTTAATTTTGGTGCAGAATGCCCCCTGGAGCAAACAGCACTTAGCTAATCACATCGGCAATAGAGCCGGGAGTGCATTGCCAGCTCGCTCTACATAGCCACGCACCAGCCAGTGAGATTGTCACCTGATGGACTAATCATACCGCTGAGCCCACCTACCTGCTCTCTGGGCATCCCTTCATCTTGTGCTGCTGAGCCAGAACCTCTGGTCTTCCCCAGCGATGACATGGAGTTGGGGTCACAGCCCACAGCAGAGCGACACAGACACAGAGCAGCTCAGCTCTGGGAAGGCTCAGTCACAGGGACTTGACACAGCATCAAGGTTCATAGCCCCAATGGGACAAGAACCCCAGATAAATCCATCTCTCTGCCTGAAAGTTTTACCCAGAGCAAGTTCACAAGTTGTTTGTCCCCTACATCAAGGAAAGAGAGACGTGCACAGCTGTTGTTCCCCCTCCCAGGTAACAAGTATGCTGGCTTTATTAATAAGTGATTTTATTAAGTATAAAAAGTAGGATTTAAGTCATTGCGAATGATAACAGAAGCTCAAAGTAAGTTACTAGCTAAATAAAACACACCAGCTAAGCTTAATACTCCCAAGAAATTTGTTACCGTACTTTTAATCATTTCTCACAAGCTAGACAGCCTCTTAGCTTGGGCCTGATCCTTTCCTCTATTGAGTCTTAGTTGTTTCCAGCAGTCATCTTGGCGATAAGGAGGGGATGTCTTCGTGTCTTGCCACTGCCAATGGGAAACATACATTTGCTGGCCTTGTCTTCTGAAACCATTAGCAGTTGAATAGTTAGCAATGCTAACATGTCAGTTGTCATTTTGATGTTTGAGACCTGACACGCCATTGAGAGAGATGGGGTGTTTCATCCCTCCAAGCTTTTGTTTCAGGATTGCTGCAGGCGAAGTCAATGCTGCATGTGTTACGCTTGGTTTCAGTTTCCACTGTTGTCCGTTCAGCCAGGCGGGCTGGCAGTGTATTGCTTTTGACTGAAAGTTCCAGTGCTCCAGCCAGGGTTGGATTCCATGGCAAATGGCTGGCGGCTGAATCAGAGGACATGAAACCCTGTCTGTGAACAGCAGATCCTCCTTGCTGCCCGCCACATGTTAAATATCTGCTGCCTCTGGAGTGAAACAACGCTCAGCAGCATCATACCACGCTTTAGGGCAGGAAGAGCACAATAACACGTTCCACTGAGACTGCAAGAGGAAGGTAGAGAGGCAAAATAGAGTTGTTCAAGCTACAACTTGGCACAACTGAGCTGGAGGGGGGAGGGATGCTCCCTTGTGAAAAGCACCATGTGATTTTCACATCTACTTTTCCCCCTCAAGGCAATTCCCTCTTTGAATTCCCTCCCCCTGCAGCGCACACTGCACACATAGTTCCTTGCCAGCCAGAAGCCCACAGCTCAGGCCTGCTCCTTTCCCCTGTGCAATGTGCATATCACCGCAATGTGGACAAAAGCCCATTAAAGCTTTTCTCACTAAGCTGCTTCCTAGTAGCTGGTCAGGTGCCTCCACAGCCACACGCTGCTGATAGACCCTCCAGCAGCTGCTGCAAGGCCTCTCCCTCTTATGCTTTGCTCCTCTTGGTGCCTCTGCCTTGTGCTTTTCTTGACCTCCTTGTCTTGCTGGGGCTGCTGTCTGCTTTGATTTTGGCCTTGACCATGTTTGGACGGGCCCTGCTGGCTTTCTCCGTACGCCAGCCTGGGCAGCTTTGGAAGGCAGCAGAAAGCTTCACCTTCTGCCCACGGACTTCTGCTGGGGACCCACAGGTGGCTCCCACACGCAGGTTCAGTTTGTCGATCCACCTGAAACCGGGTAAAAGACAGAGGAAGGGGGATGAGAACAGCTCCCGGTAGATTTGGCCGATTACTGGCAAAAAGGCTGTGCTGGCAAACCAGTGCATTTGCTCTTCCTTAACTAATGCCAAGGGAGTCTCGGCTGGCTTGGCAGCCCTGACGGGTGACTCCCTCTGGGTACCCCTGGAATGGGGACAGCTCAGGGAGGGCACTTCAGCCTCCCCACATGTGCAAACAGTTTGGAAAGTTGTAACAATACCCGAAAAGTGCAGTTGGATAGAGTAAGAATTAAGGATGTTAAATAGCAAGTAATTTACTAGTCGAGTAGTTGATGGAATTTCCATCGACTAGTCCAGTGTTTCCCAATTGGTGCTCCGGGGAACCCTGGGGTTCCGTGAGGAGCCAGCACTCCCCCGCACCCTCTGACAGAGAGAGCCAGCAGAGGTATGGGCGGCGAGTTGTATGGGCTCATGGTGCCCATGCTCCACCAATATTTGGAGCTGGAACGGCTCCCCCCTCCACCGCGCGTCCTCCCACCCTGGTCCCAGAGCATCTCTCCCCCATCTCCGGACCTGTCCCATCCCTGCCATGCACAACCTTCACTGAGCTCCCCTTTGTTGGCTGCTGCTGCCTGCGCAACGTGCTCAAACGGGTGGGTGGGAGATGCCCGGGCGTGACATAACATCACAGCCCAGGATTTTAAAACTCCTGGATGCTGTGTTGTGCCACATGGCTGAATTGCGGGTTCAGAGTCCAGGGACGAAGTGCAGACTCCAGCCCCACAAAGTAGAAGGCAGAAGGTAGGGGAAGGGGAAGGGCTGGGAGAGGAAGGGGCTTGTGCGGAGGGGGAGGGGAAGGGGGGAAGAAAGGGGAAGACACCAAAAGGATAGGGTAGAGGAGAGACAAATGCCAGGGGGCCAAGTGCAGACAATGATGAAAAAGGCAAGAGGGGAGGTGCTGGGAGAAGGCTTGAAAGAAGGGGTGGGCATGAGGAAGGCGGGGATGGAGCAAGTCATGTGTGAGGACACAGGGGCATGAGGGAAACGGGGGCAGAGGGTGGTGAGGGGGTGGGCATCAGGGAAAAAGAGGGCAAAGGGTGAGGGAAAAGGGAGGCAACAGAAAGGTGCAGGAGTAAGAGAAGGTGCAAGTGCCAGGGAATTCTAGGGGTGAAGCAGAAGGGCAGATATCTGCAGGGGAGGGACCAGCACCAGAGGAGAGAGGCAGGGCAGGTTTGTAGAGGAAGGTGTTAGAAGAGGGGATGAGGAGGGGTAGCTCACATGATCAGAGTGGGGCTACTGGAGGAGTGGGCACAAGGG